GGCTGGGGGCCCTCCTCACCCCACAGGGGGCCCCCCCCCTTTCTATTGCAGATAAATTTTACTTCGCAGGTGCAGCAGCAGCTCTTAGGGGCTTCAAGCCCTACGCTGTGGGGCCCTCTGACCAAGGTGTGTTTGCTGCTGCTGTTGCTGCTGCTGTGCTGCTGCTGCTGCGCTTTTGCTGCTCTCGCTGCTGCGGGGTGTTGTGGTGGTGGTGGGGCTGCAGCAGGGGACCACTTAAACAACTGCAACTGCTGCTGCTACGCTGCTGCTGCCATACTGCTGCTGCTATGCTGCTGCTGCTGTGCTGCTGCTGGTATCCTGCTGCTGCTGCTGCTGCTGCTGCTGCTGTTCAGCGTATACGATTGACAAGGCGCGGTCTGTCTGCTCCCCCACAAGGGACTTTCTGGGGGGCGATTCCTTTTTTGCTGCTGAGGTTGGACTTGCCTACGACTTCCACATCCCCAGCAGCAGCAGCAGCAGCAACAGCAGCAGCAGCAGCAGCAGCAGCAGCAGCAGCAGCGGCAGCAGCAAGAAGGAGTTTGGGGGCTACCACCCCCGGCTGTACCTGTTCGGCAGCATCGGCAGCCTGGGCGACGTGTTCAGCAACAGCAGCTCCCCGCTGCAGCAGCAGCAGCAGCAGCAGCAGGTGTGGGGCCGCGTGGGGTCGCTGCTTCGCAGCTTCCGCTGCAGCGTGGGCTGCTGCTGCTGCTTCCCCATCGACAAAGGCGTCTGGGTCGAAGCTGGTGCTGCTGCTCCCCTCAGGAGAAGCAGCAGCGACCAAATAGAAAGGCTGCTGCTGGGCATTCGGCTGTGCACCATAGACAACCCCAACTAGGGTTTAGGGTTTAGGGTTTAGGGTTTGGGGTTTAGGGTTTAGGGTTTGAGGCTGCAGCGGCGGCGGAGCTGCGCGAGCAGTGGGGTGTATAGGCAGCTGCTGGGGTGTATAGGCAGCAGCTGGGGTGTATAGGCAGCTCGCGGATTTCTTTGTTTTCGCAGTTGCGAGATAAATGAATTGCATTTAAAGTCCAAAAGTTATTTATTAAATTAAAAAACTAAAATGCATTTATAATTCAAAAACATCTAATTGAAAAGTGCGTCGAAACAAATCCGCTGCTGGTCTTCTTCAAACTGCGCCACTTGAACTGCTTCACCATTTCTTATTCATTCATCATTTATTTATTTGTCATTTATTTATTTATTTATTTATTTATCATTTATATGTTTATTTATTTATTATCATTTATTTACTTAATTATCTACCTACTACTATCATCTATTCATTTATTTTTTATTTTCAGATGGCACTTTTTTCTGCGGCCTTAGAGTCCATTCGCAGCCAACCACCGCAGCAGCAGCTTGTAAGAACAAAATGAAATAAATAAATAAATAAATAAATAACAAATACTAATAAATAAATAAATAAATAAATAAATAATAAATAGATAAATAAATGATAAATAAATAAATAAGAAGCGGGGAGAATGAATAAAAGTGGAAAGCGAAGTTTACTTGTTGCTCGCTGCTGCGGGGCTCGCAGCCTCTTTATTCGTTTTATCTTAAAGTTGATTTCTTCTTTTGTTGCAGATTAAAATAAATAAATAAATGAATAAAAACTAATTAATTAATCAGATAGAAGGAAACAGAGCTGCTAGCCAGCTAGCTGGCTAGCTAGCTAGCTGTTTTTGTGTCTCTCTCGCTGCCCATCTACTCGCTTATCTAGCCAGCTAGCTAGCGAACTAGCTAGCTACCTCAGCTAGCTAGCTAGCAACCGAACTAGCTAGCTAACTAGCTAGCTAGCTCACTAGCTAGCTAGCAACCTAGCTAGCCAGCTAACTGGCTCGTTAACTAGCTACCTACCTAACTAGCTAGCTATCTGGCTACCTAACTAGCCAGCTAGCTAGCTATCTACCCAGCTAGCTAGCTAGCTAGGCGGAGCAGCAAAGACCGCAGCAAAATGCTGTGGGGCTCCTCTCCGGAGGAAAATAAGTTAATAAAAATTAGATTGGATAAAATTGAATTAAATAAAATTAAGTTGAATTTAATAAAACAAAGTGAAATAGAAGTTTGCACAGATCAAGAGACAAAAGAAGACAAATAAAAGGAAACGATGCGCAGCCCCCAAGTCCGTAAGTGACAAAGAAGTGCATGCAGTAACGGCAGCAGCAGCAGCAGCAGCAGCAGTTGCTGCTGCTGCTGCTGCTGTCACCCTGTGTCTCCGCCGCGGCGGAGAGAGGGCGCTGGCAGCAGCAGGGCGCCTGACAAGCCTTGCTGCTGCTGCTGGTGCATCAGCTGCTGCTGCATCAGCTGCTGCTGCATCAGCTGCTGCTGTTGCTGCTCAGCAGCAGCAGCAGATTTGCGCGTGCTGCTGCTGCCTGGCTCTCCCCGCGAGAGCTCTTTAAAAAGGCCTCCCCTCACAACTTCCGTTTCTGCTCTCCTTACTCGCAGGCCCTGTCTGCTGCTGCTGCTGCTGCCGCTGCTATTGGTGCTGCTGCTGCTGCTGCTGCTGCTGGGAGCTGCGACACGTGGAGCTGCTAGGGGAATCTTCACGCTGACTGCTCTTTGGTACGAACCGAGCTTGGGGCCTATTGCTGCTGCAGCTCTCGGTGCCGTTGCTGCTGTTGCTGCTGCTGCTGCGACACGGGGGCGCGCGGCGGGCGCTGTTGTGGCTCTTGCTGCTGCTGCATGCAGCGCCTTCAGACAAAGGAAAACATAAACAAATGATTGGAAATAAATAATTAAATCAAAATAAAATAAATGATGAACTATTAAAAGAAGAGCAGCAGCACACGCTTGAGAACTGTTTGAGTATTTGCTGCAACTGACAAACATTTTTGAATCGGAAGAAGCAAAAGAGAAATTAAACGGGGCTTTCTTTCCCAAAAAGAAGCAAATTGAATTTAAAAAGTATCTTTTTTGAATAAAATAGAGAAAAATAGGTAAAAAAAGAGGCTAAAAATGATTGAAAAAGTTGAAAAAAAAGACAAAAAGAAGCAAAATGCATGCACTCACTGCAGCAGCTCGAATTTCTTCTGCATGCACTTCCAGGTAGACACAAAGACCCTCCAGCTTGTAGCAAGCAACAGCAGCTTCCTGAGAAAAGAAATCAACAAAAAAAATCCAATTAATTCCTTTTGAAGAGAAAAAGTCCTTTTTGGACCTGTCTGGAGGCACAGAGGCCCCAAACACTTGACTGGATCTTCGAAAAGAAAAGAACTTCATTTAATTTTGTCTTTGCGAAATAAAAGGACTTTTAAATTAAATTATTTGGAAAAGAAACGGCTTTTGTGGCCAAAGACAACCGCAGAAAGAAGAAAGTTCAAATAAGTCCGAAATTCAGAAACGCGAATTCAGGTGAAACTTTTGTTCTATTTTTCGCGAAAAAAGGGGAAAAAGAGAATTCAAAAAGAGGAAAAAAGAAATAAAAAAGAAGAGGACAATTCGCAGCAAAAAGAATCTCGAAAAAAGAAGAAAAAGGAAACTATTTACCTCCAGCGCTTCCTTTCTGCTGCTGCTGGAAGCAGCGCAGCCCGGGCACGCCTGGGGCCCTGCTGCTGCTGCTGCTGCAGCAGCAGCAGCACGAGAAGGCCCTTTGTAAGGGGAAATGGCACTTATTTCACTTCTTGTTTGTTTTCCGAGAGAAAAAGACAAAAAGTTGTTCAAAGATCGCAGCCCTCCCGCGCCCAGCAGCCGCTGCAGCTCCCCCGTCACTGAGTCGCATTCTTTCAGGAAATAAAGTGCGTCCTGAGCAGCAAATTCGAATTTAAAACTATTTGCTTTATTTTATTTCCCATTTTATTCATTTTTACTTCCAATTTCATTCAAGTTGATCCAATAAACGCCTACGGAAAGCACTCATCCGCACACTTCCCAAGACGCAGCCAGCCGCTGCGCAGCAGCAGTGCTGCTGCTGCTGCTGCTGCTGCTGTCTCTGCTGCTGCCGCAGCAGCACTGCTGCGGCCTCTGTTCGTAGCGCGGCCGCTACTGCTGCTGCTCATGGTGCTGCTGCAGATACTGCCGCTGCTGCTGCACATACTGCCGCTGCTGCCATTGATGCTGCGACTGCTTCCGCTGCTGATAATACTGCTGCTGTCGTTGCTGCTCAAGCTCCTACTGCCGCAGATATTGCTGCTGCTGATACTACTACTGTGGCTGCCGCTGACACTACTGCTGCTGCTGCTGAAACTGCTGCTGCTGCTGATCCAGCTGCTGCTCCTGCAGCTGCTGCTGCAGCTGCTGCTGCTGCCTGCGGAGCCGCGCTGCCTGCGCAAGCATTCTTTGTTTGGCTTCTTCTGCGGAAATGACTTCTCCGAGCTGCGCCTGCTGCTGCTCCCTCTTGTTGTTGTAGCAGTGCAGCAGCAGCACAGCAGCAAGCAGCAGCCAGAAGGCTGGAGAGAAGCAGCTCAGGTTCCGCTCCGGCAGCAGCAAGTCCCACAGCCGCTGGCTCTCCGCAGCCCGCTGCGCCAGCTGCTGCTGCGCGTCCGCTGCTGCTGCGCTGTCCCGCTGCGCTGCTGCTGCTGCTGCTGCTGCAGCGGTTCCCCCTGCGTCGGGAGAAGGGCTCGGCGCTGCACCCGGGGAAGACTCTGCAGGCTGCTGCAGGCCTTCACGAGACAGCTGCTGCTGCGGAG